TCCACTGCTGAACATAGGCCTCCCCCAATGAATGCCACAAAGCACGGTCCTGAGCCACCTGCATCAAACGAAATAAAATTATTACCTTCTAAATATTAATAAATTATTATGTTACACTTTTGGGATGTCTCACCGTGGTCCGCATCCGGACCGCCGACCTTTATGTGCGGATACAAAAAAATCGACGTAAAATTTTGTGGTAATTCAATTTTCTTCTGTTCAAAACACAAACATTTTGAAGTTTTTTGTCAAGAATTTTGGATAAAGTTATTTTGTGGTATAAATAACCAGAACTCAAAATTCCTTAAAACTTTGTACAATGTTTAGATCATCTACATATTATATTTGAGGCAGTGTTTTCCAAGACGAATTTCATTAATACTACATTTCAATCTCGTCTTACCGATAACCTGATATTTCAGATTAAAAAATTTTCGCCTTAATATTGAGTAATTAGTAGATATATTTATTGTTATTTACACTTTACTTGGTAACCATAAGAAATATTCTGAGGTTTTTTCGTTTCATCTAGCAAACGGACCTCGACGATTTATATATTTTTAGGCGGACCCGCAAATGTAGTAATTGGTGATAACTGCTTTAAGGCCATGGAGGTTAGAGAGAAGGAGAACGTTCGCTAGGTACTAAAGCATAACCCGCCTGTTCCTGAAAATTCGTCGGTAAGTAGGTAGTACAAGTAGATGAAGTTAGTTGAATAATGTACAAATTTCCTTCGTGGCATTGGTAAGAAAATAATCGTGTTACGTAATTTTTTAATTTTTGACAAAAAGAAACATTAAAAAATGTATTGTGCGTAGATGTGCAAGTGGTTTAGCATCTGATCGGAAAAATAGACTGAAAATGACTTTTATTGAGACAATTCAGCGATCGCAGCGCCTCACTTATTTTGTCCACATTTCTGGGACACTATTTTCTACAGCGATAGTTTTCCTTCTCTCTAACCTCCATGCTTTAGGCGCTCATGTTATAAGTCAATTTAAAAGTATTTTATAAACACATCAGTTTTAACAAACAACCTTATTACTATTACTTTTTTTAAATCTATATGGCCCTTGGTATTGTGATAAAGTCACAATTTTTACATTTTCCCTTTTTTTTTCTTTTTTTGATTCTGGAAAAATAGTTTTGTTTGACATATTGTTTTTTCTATTACTATAATTTTCCGATAATTTTATGTCAAACGTCAATAAAAAAAAGTTTGGATAACCAAAAATGCACTACTCATAGTGCTCATATGATCGTGAAAAAAATATAGAAAAAAATTCTCAATAAATAATAGAAGATATTTCTTTGAATTTTACTATGTGATAATTATTGAGATTAAAAGAAATGTTGTTAATTGAAAAAAAAAAGTTTTACAGAATTATCATAAAACGATCAGAAATAAACTTTAATATTCCTTTAATTTTTAGGTATTTGTACCTACTCAGGCATTATCGTAAAAACTAGTATTTTTTAACTGACTAGTAATTTTTTCTCTCATTAACTTTATTTCGATTTCAAAAAGTTTTTATATCAAGCCGTAACCGGTATTTTAATTCAGCATTCACCAAAGTACAACTTCAGGTCACTCCATAAAGTTCAAGACGTATAGGTAAGTATATTTACACATAAATCTTTCGTCCTTTTAGCGAAACAATATGTAATGACAATCTCGATTATAAAATAATATACCTTGGTCTAGTGTGTATCAAATTTGGTTTTTGGAATATTTGGTATTTCTACAGCGATCGATATTTTTCATCACGAGCCACTGTAACCAAATGATACAGTCGATTTAAAAAAATAGTAATAAGTTCAACAATCATTTATTTTTCTGACAATGTGCTTTATATATTGTTTATATGTTCAATATGATTGTTAGATACGATTTCATGCGACAAAACGTTGGATTCTTGATTTTTAATCGCTGCTAGAACATACCTCCGCGGTTTGCGTTCAAGGCATGCAATATATTTTTTGCAATCAATTAATAGAATTTTTGGATTTTATGCTACTGTAAAATCTCTTTATACGAATATAGTAGTAGTGGGTGCGCTTACGCCGACAATATACGGCAACGTATAATAAATACTCAAGTGAAGTTACAGCCTTTACTGCCAATGTTGGGCTCCAATATATTTCCTACGTTTACTTCACTATCTAAGTATCTACTTACATACATATATATATATATACACACATATATATATATATGTATATATATATATATATATATATATATATATATATATATATATATATATATATATATATATATATATATATATATATATACATATACTTTTTTCTTTTTTTAATTAAAATATCTTAAGCTATAAAAACACAAAATACTGAAATTTTTATATACTAACAAGTTTGTATATAACAACTTTGTATACTAACAAGATTTCTAACTAGATGAATAGATCACATTTTTGTTAGGACACCTCCTTGGGACAGATGGTCGCCCTCCCGGTGATAGAACAAGTTGTCGGATTCGAGAATCACCGTGTCCTCCCCCTCTCTTCGGACCTCGGATAATCCTATAATATTCCAGCGCAACTTGTCTATCTCTTCTTCCAGCTCCAGGATCTTCTCGTCAGTCCTCAGGGTGCGTGCGTTAAATGTTGCCAGGTCGAGTCGTCGTAGGTGGCAACCGAACCTCCACCGGAGATTCTTAGCACCCCCTTAACCCTTAGCTTAAATTCAGCGGTGTTTTTTCTAAAAATAAAATCAAGTTTCAATATACAATATGGAACGTAATTAACGCACACCCTCAGACACCCCAATTAGTATATTATGTTATAATCATAATACATACAGTGAATTTTTAGTTAAACATTTTTATGCACTGATTATTTATCAAATTAGTTATACTAATTCCGGAAGAATGTTGTGGTCACAGTACAAATCCACGAACGCAAAAACTTTAACGTGCTTGAAATAAAGTTCATTTTTCTTTATTTTTTTTAATGACAGAATTAGTAATAATACAAATAAAACTGCACTCTTAAAAGTCTTATTGCCTTAAGTTACGGTCCATTTCAGTTTGTTTTGCCTGTATAGATTTAGTGTGACTGTAATTTATGTAGTTTTAATTATTTTTGGGATAAAAAATTGCCTACATTAAAATTGATAGGAATCGATTCAGTAAACAATTCTGAACAAACTATTTTCTCAAAGTGCGTTAATTATGTTACGTGTTGTATAATTTTATACACTTGGTATGAAAACATTAGAAAGAGCATGTGGTAGCGATCACCTGATTTTCAGAGGTTATTATCAATCGTGTAGTCTTTAGTACTGTAATTACCCTTACTAATCAAGAGATGGGGATGAGAATGAGATTGAGAACCTGTTATAGAACACCCACATTGATATTTTCTGGGCACACAGATGCATAGCGCAGTGTTAGTGTATGTACCCTGGACATGAATACATTACTTTCGGTGTTTCGCACAACATGTGCGTACATATAAATATACCTATACCGGACTATTGCACATCAAATAAATCCTATTATTGTACTCTGGAACAGGCTAAACGTTACATTAAACAACCTAAGAAATACCTAAAGATACTTAAATAAAATATAACATCGATAATTGCAATTTTCTTAGTATATAGAATTTACTTGACCGAATCTCTTTTGATTACATTGTTTTGGTGTTAACAGAGGGCTGGTTACCCTGTTCAAGTAATAAAAATATTCCTAATATACAGCACTACACTATCCACAAAACTTGTAAATATCAAATGTGATGGGGTAATCGTTTTCATTAAGTCATGTTTGCTGGTAAATATTGAAGAAATAAATTTTAATAATGCGGCATTTTTATACGTGGTAGAGTCACGGTGCAGCTATAGTATAGTTGTAACACGAATGGGTCGGCTTGACCGGCAAGGACCACGCTTTCCCAGAATACCAGCATAAAATAGCAGCTTAATACTGCTGTGTTTCGTATGGTAAGTATAGAGATCCGAAGACCCTTTTTTACTGCTTACGAGGCATTCCGTCTTAGTCCTCAGGGGTGACAACGCACCTGCGTTTTGATTCCTACTCGAGGATAAATGTAGACATCTATGGACCACAGCATCCACTTATCATCCGGTGGACTGTATGCTCGTTTGTCACTTATTCTATAAAAAACCTTGACTAATCACTACGATAGATTCGGACAAAGTGCTTATTCACATTTATCGACCGCCAACAAATGACAACATAGATGAGTTTCTTTCGACACTCAATGCTACACTTACACTGTTCTCCAAAAGTAAAACAGTCATATTAACTGTAGGTATAAATATTGATATAAATTCTTCTTCCATACATACCCGCAGCTATAACTATTTAAATTGTCTAGCATATCATAGTCTTCTTCCTGCCACACCCTCTCAACCAGAGAAGAAAACTGCATTAATCATTTTATCTTGAGCACCATATACATGGCTGTAGCTTTAGTTTTAAACACCACTATCACTGACAATTGTTCCTCTATTGTATTTTACTTTATTATTTTGGGTATCAAAAATGAAAGGCTAAATAATGCTATTTGCATTATTTCAGAAGTTGATTTTAACAAACCTGATAAAACAGTCAAAAACTTTACTTAACGTCGATAAGGATGTACCGTGATAATGCTATGTCAGATCCCAATACTGCAACTGAAGTTCTTATTAAACTTTTTTCGGTTGCAATTGCTGAAAACTTATTACTGAAAAAATTATCGTCCAGAAATAGAATACTAAAACCATGGATGACACCAGGCTTAATAAGGTGTAGGTATAAGAAATAGTTCAATGCATAAAAAATTAAAAAAGGCACCTAATAATTTAACGCCGTCTATCACTTGTAAGTGGTTTAGAAACTTCTGCACAAAAGTTTTAAAGAAAGCAAAAGTGATTTAGATGCTCAAGAAATAAGGAAAGCAGGTGAAAACCCTAAGACTCTTTAGGATACTATCAAAAAAAAATACATTCCACAATAAACAAACATTATGTCGGTTAGTTACACAAGCAATGTCTTAAAAGCAATTATGTAATAGTGTTAACAAGTAACGGGAAAATTAGTTGTTGGTGTTTCTGATAAGAAATTCTTAGTAATAGCCTGGAGTCAGAAAGTTGGCGGTGTTTCACCCCTGTGCCTCGAAAAGCAAGCAAAGCCGTTGGTCTTGCACATGATCTCTCTTCGCCGATAACCTAACCTCTCCGAGTCGGGGTTCCCCACACAAAATTATAATTAGTATCTGTACTTAAAATATTTAAACACATAAATTACACGAATTTTCAGATTTCCTAGAGACCCTTCTCGGAAGAGAAAGTGGGTAGAAGCAGTTCGTAAAGATGAAGCCTGATTTACGACGAAACACAACGCTATATGCAGTGTACATTTCGATACTGTCTGTTTTAATACTAGTGCAAAGAACAGAAAATGACACCAATGAAGGCAGTCTCATTGCCCATAAAGACAAGGGAAAACTGATACTTCCCTCAAGTGATACCATAGCTGTATGTTAGCACTACGAACTCGAACTTAGGAAGGGTGTTCAGGATAAAAGACTAAAAAAAGATTACACAACAGACTTTCTTCTGTCGAAAGTAACAGAAACATTGCTGCAACTTCCGTTGTACGAAGACATTCATTTCGATAAATTTGAAAATAAGTGTCACGTCGAAGAGTTAACGAAAGCCGTTGCTGAAAAGTATTTAAATATTAGAATTGCTTATATAAGAAAACAAGCGAACAAAACAAATTCTAAGAAACATATTTTAAGAAAGATGATACATAATAAAAGTTAGTAAACCTACTAAAATAATTTAAACTCAATAAAGCATTTGACTTTTATCATAACTATAATTGAATAAAAAGTCCATAAAATTGTCCTGCTTCTTTTATTTTAATTAAAATTTAAATACCGGATTCTTGCCTCACCTTCATTATCCCTTTATTTCCTTTGTTTTACAGCTTATTTACGATACACCTTTACTTTCTCATTCGTTCATCGATATAATATTATCGACTACGATCAAGCACTAGAAATAGAGTGAACTTCTACGAATTTCGTATCTGTGTTTCGCGTAGTGTATATATTCTTTGTCTGTGTTTATATTAACGTAATAAAATCTTCGTGTGCGTTATTCTCCACTTGGTTGAACGAGTTTTCATTTATTACTTTTCTTATTGTACAATTACCATTGCTGATTTTGTTCTACCGTAATACGCGACACACGAGACATTGACAAACTCGCCAATCAATGTAATGTGAAATATTAGACATCATTGTACATTACGTATATTTATAATACGGTAAGATGTGATGACATCTATTTTGGAAGTAATCGAGCGCTAATTCCTTTCTATTGTCTTATTATTACGATTTATGTGGTTGTCTACCTTGCGATATTGTGTTAGGTAGTTTAAAAGGCCAGTGTTCCTGGTGATACTGAAAGTAGAGCGAGTAAGTAGCTTTGGTTTTTGGTTGTTTTTTATTTGGGTGTTTTTAATTGAATATTTTATGATTGGCGCCTAAGCCGCCAATACATGGCGACGTATTATAAATACACAAGTTAAGTTACACCCTTTATATATCCCAGTGCTGGGCTCCAATATACGTCCCACTGCTGAGCACACGGCTCCTCTCATTTCTGAGATGACTCTTTACACACATTAATTAACGAACGTTTTTGAGAAATGTAAAGTTTTGCTATAGCTGCCCGGCTTCGCACTATTTCTGGCTATTTCTGGATCTCGAATCTAAACCATCCATCCAACTTTGAACACAAAAAATCAGTCATTTTCGAGTTTTAGTTAGAATAACGGACAGCAATTTATTTTTATATATGGATATAAATAAAATTTAAATATGTCTTTAATATCGAAGTAGCTGCCTTATATTGATCTGAGGGGATGCTGGATAAAGTCATGAATAACCATTTTGAAGTTTTTTGTCTGTCTGTCTATCTGTTTTTGTCCGGTCTGTCTGTCTTCGGATTGGTTGACATGATTGTAATGAAACTTCACGAAAAGATAGAGAGCAATGCCAGGAGAGTTCTAGACTAAAAATATGGACGTTGAAAAGAAAACAAATAAAATAAATTGTTTTATGTTATATTAGATCTAAATAACGCCTCATTAATATTACAGGTAAAACCGGGGTGGGGCGGTATATAAATATATACACTTACGACTAAAGCCTGCATAGATCAGTGTCTGATCTACTTCGCCATCACTGTTATACAGGATTCAAATCTATACCCACAACTTCAATAGAGAACACCACGCAAACAGCTTCTGCATCTCCTAATGTGAATGGTTTCTACGTCACGTTATCTTAAACTGATCACTCTGTTAATTTAATTAATGTTAGATACAATTAAATGCTATTTTTAATCAATTTACGTTAATTTGTTATTTGTGCAGCCGATAATGCAACTTATGTTGTGATGTAATAAGGGTCATTTTTCAATGGCAATAACAATCACGTTGTCAGTGACCAATTTTAATTCGATTTGTTTATCGTTTAGATTCTCGTATATATTTCGTAAGTTCTTGAACAGCGTATCATACAGACAGCAGACTCAGGTGAGTTACAATTAAAATCATTATTATAATCATCATGATTACAGCTAGGCCTCCAAAAAGGAACGCCACAAAACACGGTCTTAAAACTGTATGTACTGTATGGCTAGACCATTGTCAATTTAGCAAATTTAAAATCATTCGAATGAATTTATCAATTTTTTCATTTAACTCATTTAAGTTTAAACGCAGCTAGCGTTCTAGGCACGCTATCACGGGGAGTAGGAATGTATCATAATTAAGGAGATATAGTAACTCAGCTTAAATTCTAATTTCACCCTCATTTCCCCGCGCGTCGTATGCTATGTACCGACATGTTTGTAATCACTAATACAGTAATACTGTAAGTAGATCGTTAGATACCTATTTCGTTAGGTTTATCATATTTATGTCTGTGTCTTTACGCCAATCCAGTCGCTTCTTATTTTTATTACGGTTATATCCCATTTTAATTTTACGTCGTCCTGTTGCGTGTAAATAAGATAGTTTCCCCCTTCAAAGACCGAAGCGAGACTGACCGGGCGGCAGGAAACAAGCTTCAAGATGCCGATAGTTTGAGTAAATTTTTATTACAGTGAAAATAATGGTAATTAAAAACAACATATGCCCTGCTTTATAGTTCAGTTAGTATGCAAAGTTTCATGATCTAATTTTAAGTATTTTATGAATAACAGCATTGTTCAGTTTTGAGGTAAATTTTACGGAATCATGTTTTTGTCTAACATAGTACTTAACATTAATCCTCAACTTCACTATATATTTATTTCAAAATTAATTCTGCAATATTTTCGGCATAACGGAGGATCTTGCTAAGCCATTTCTGGTAGTATTTTTAATATTTCCCCTTAAAACTCTTAGTTTTAGTTTTACTTTATTATAGTTTTTTAATATTGTGTGTAACCTTGTAGTTAGATTTAATTTTGTACTATGTTTTAACAAAAAATAAATATACTTTAATTTAAACTTCACGGCTCAACATTATTCAGTCCACTCGAAGTCCACCAATGGGCGTTAAACCTCTCATTTAAATAAACATACATAATATATACAATACCACGTGTTCGTGGTAGAGCCACGCTGCAGCTTTATTATTATGGTTGTAGCACGAATACGGTCACCGGACACTATCACCGGTCACCTTGTCCGGGAAACTAACGCGCTCCCTTAAAATGCCAGAGTAAAATACATGTTACTGTTTTTTATATGGTGAGTATATAGGTAGAGAACTAGAAACCATTTTCAGTGGAAACGAGGTATTCCATCTTAGTCATCAGATGTGACGACGCATTTGTATTTTGATTCTTAATCGAGGGTAGATATATATGTCTATAGGCCACAGCATCTACTCACCATCAGGTTGACGGTGTGCTCTTTTGTCACCCACCTTATTCTGTAAAAAAAATGAAAATATTGATATTGATCATCAAGACTGAATTTTGGTCACTGAGGCTGGGCTTATTTATTGCTATTTGGCGACAGAACCCAGATGCTCCTAGGTAATTAAAGAGTGTTCCCATACTTTTCATATTAAATATCTCACTTCAGGTGATAAAATATTTTCAAATAAAATTATATAGTGCGATTTAGGAGTGATTTCCTTCAGTAAGCAATTATAATTATACCACCAGTTACCTACCCGTAATACTGATAGTCTTAGACATTTAATGTTCTTCGGGGACATGCGAACTTCAGCTACATGTATGTAGTACGACAGAATGTTTCTTTCCTAACACCGACTCAGAAAAAGAGATTAGGTCTCTACCCAGGTGTGGGACCTGTGTATAATGATGTGTTTCTTACTATTTTATTTAAAGTCACTGTTTAGATATAAGAGGGTTATTTGCCATTGTTGCCACATTTAGCCAGCGAGTTAAAGTTAAAGTTACAGCATATATACGTCCTACTACTGGGCACAATCCTCCCCTCATTTCTGAGAGTAACCGCACTTTATTATGGGTAAGGCCTATATTCAGCAGTTGACTCAAATAATCTGTAACAGTAACGGTTTTCATATTATTCAACTTAAATGTGTATACTTAACTGTCCTTTTCTTAAATTACAGAAGTAAGAATGCAGTTAGCAACGGGTTTCGTTCTCGCCCTGTTGATAGGGCTTGCTAGCGCCGCTCCCGTCTCTAATGAAAAACATGGAAAATTCGTAGTCACAAGAGAATTTTTTCCCGAATCTTTGGTTGTGTATTCCGGCGAACACGAAATTGTTAACATTTTCGTTCCCTTAAATGGTCTTAACTACGCAGAGAAACCGGATGACGACAGGAAAATTATACTTTTCTTCGTCGAAGCTGATGAAGATGATTCAGGCAAAAGAATAGACCAGGGCTTATATGTTCTTAAAGACGGTGTACCTAAGAAGCTATTGGATCATGGTAGGGACGCATCAGCAGCTAATGACGATAGCCAGGAAGTCTACTTTGCTGCTGAAGATGGTATTTATTTGTACAATCCTGAAGAAAACTCAGCTGAGAAATACGGTACAGTGTCTGATAGTATAATCGGAATTGCTAAGGAGAACAACAGTGATGTCATTTACATTCTCACTGAAGATTTCGAAGTATTCAGAGTGTCTGAAGCTGGTGAGAAGAAAGAGAAGATCGAAGAGATCGTCGGTGCTCAACAAATTGTTCTGGATTATAAAAACAATTTATATTTCTACGACGCAGATAAACAGCCTTTCGTTTACAGTAAAGATGGAGTAAAAAAGATTGAAGGAACACCTGAACATGCAGTTAAAGCGCACCTTCTTAAACCATCTTTATATACGGAAGACTCGGTCCCATTCATTGTTGATGGAAAGATCTACATCTTGTACGCTGATGGGTCCGCACAACCTTTCGACATTGAAATCGCACCTGACGCCCAACCAAGTGCTTACTCAATGGAAACAATGTTGATGCAATATTATGCCCTAGATAATAAGATTTACGAATTTGATATTATGGATATAATGATAGACGGTATTTTAAATACCATGAAAGAAATTCTACAACACTATATGGATATTATTCAAGAAATTCTTGCCATGGAAATTTTTAATTCTAAATAGATATCTATAACTGTTTTTAGATGGATACCATATATATCATCCAAATAAAAATGATGCCCCGTTTATCGTTTGTTTTTTTTTTTTAATTATAAGAGACGTAACCATCATTAAACATCTCATCATCTCTTTAAACTTGGTTGAGCCACATAACTTTCTGAGTTAATTCTGAGCAATATAATTATTGGCGTTTTAGTATTTCTATTGTTGTTTCATCATTCATCATCATTACAGCCCTTCATAAGACCACTGCTGAACATAGGCCTCCCCCAAGTAATGCCACAAAGCACGGTCCTGAGCCACCTGCATACATCGACTTCCTGAAATATCTTACAAGGTCGTCACTCCATCTAGTGGCGGTCGCCCTACACTACGCCACTCAGGCTCGAGGCTGCCACTCGAGAACCTTTCTTCCTCATCGGTTATCGGTTCTTCGAGCTATATGGCCGGCCTATTGCCACTTCAGCTTACCAATCCGTTAGGCTATGTCGGTCACTCTGGTTTTACTGCGGATATCCTCATTTCTGAGTCTATCACGCAGAGAAACTCCGAGCATAGCCCTCCCCATAGCTCGCTGAGCGACCTTGAGCGTCCTCATACGGCCAGCAGTCCACGTCTCAAATCCGTAAGTCATCACTGGCAACACGCACTGGTTGTACAATCTAGTTTTAGAGATCGAGGTATACCTGACGAGAAGATATGTCGTAATTTCCCGAACGCTGCCCAGCCGGGTTGAATCCGTCGATTGACCTCTCGGTCGAAGTTGGACTTACCTAGTCGGACTATTTGTCCCAGGTAAACGTACTCGTCAATAACTTCGAGCATAGTGCTCCCAACAACTACCGGCATAGGTGTGACATGGACATTAAACATGATCTTTGTTTTGTTCATTTTCATCTTAAGACCTATCCGTTGGGAGGTACTATTGAGGTCATTGAGCATAGTGATTAAGTACTACAGAGATTCTTCCATAAGGACTATATCGTCGGAAAATCGAAGAGTAGTGATGTACTAGCACTTGATGTTACCGTATCCTTTCCAGTTCAGTAGCTTGAAAACGTCTTCCAATATAGCGGTGAAGAGTTTTGGGGATAAAAACGTCACTCTGTCTTACACCTCTCTGCAGTTGGATGGGTTTCATGCTCTGGTTCTGTACTCGAATAGCCACCATAGCCCTACTGTACAAACACTTCAGCACTTCGATATACCGACAGTCAACTTGGCGCCGCTGAAGGGACTGTAGCACCGCCCAAATTTCGACAGAATCAAAGGTTCTCATAGTCCACATACGCCAGGCAAAGTGGCAGATTGTACTCTTCGGTCTTCTGTATAATCTGCCGCAGGGTATGTATGTGTTCTATGGTACTGAAGCCTTTTCGGAAACCGGCTTGTTCGAGAGGCTGGAAGTCGTCGAGTCTGCGTGCGAGACGATTCGTAATGACTCTCGAAAACAGCACGTAGACGCGGCTCAGAAGGGAAATCGGTCTGTAGTTCTTCAAGAGAGCGTTGTCGCCTTTCTTAAAGAACAACACCACCGCACTTCTGCTCCACGCCTCTGGAGTAGTGCCACCATGGAGGACGGAATTGAAGAGCTTCTGAAGGACTTCAAGTACCGGTGTTCCACCCGCTTTCAGAAGCTCAGCTGTAATTCCATCCTCGCCTTGGACCCTGCCGTTTATAAGGTGCCGGAGAGCCATTCTAGTCTCGCTTAGACTGACGTCCGGGATATCACCGGAATAGTGTCGGATAAGACTTGCTCTTGGATCGTTACTTACACTTGCGTGTGGCTCCAACGATAATGTGTACAGCTGCCCATAGAACCTCTCAATCTCACTCAAAATCTCAGGTGTCCCGGAAACGATGCTGCCGCACTCAGTCTTCAGCTTTGACAGTTGGCTCTTACTGGCAGACAGATCTCTGGCAAAGACTTTGAAGCCCTTGTTCCGCTCGATCGCTTCTTCAATACGAGCAGTATTAAAGTTGCGTAAGTCTCGCCGCATGCATTTGAAGATCTGTCTATTCAGTTACCTGTATGCTGTCAAATCTTTTGAGGATTGCAGCCTCATCTCTCGTCTAACAGCCACGAGATTAAGAGTGTGATCGGAGAGTTTTTGTGTTCTTCTGTGGCAAATCTTGCAGAACTTAGCTCCGACCGCATGGACAGTTTCCACGAGCTTGTCATTCATATCGTCCATTGCATTGCAATCTTGTAGCCACTGAAAGCGGTTACGTAACCCGAGCTGAAATGTTTCGGGATGTTCTGGATTAGAGCACGAAGGGGACGGAGCGTTGACTTCATTAGACGAGACCTATCCAACTTAACGTTTAGGTTCAGTGTGCCTCTAACCATTCCGGTGATCGCTGCCAGTTTTCACCCTTGCGATCACTGAGACATCACTCATCAGTTGGCGTCTAGTCGGTCATAATGAAGTCAATCACATTTTTTATCGAACCGTCGGGGCTCGACCAGGTCCACTTCCTATGGGGCCGCTTCTGGAAGAAAGAGTTCATCATAAAGAGTCCCTCTTTCTACACAAAGTCGGCCAGCTGGCCCCTTCGGTTCCGTTGCCCTACTCCAAATTTCCTTAACTTCAGGTCACCGTTTTCTCTTGTGCCTAGTTTTGCGTTGAAGTCTCCCATCAACACCGTGTAATGGGTTTGGAGGAATGCATGGCTTTGGAATTATCTTCATACATTTCCTCCACCTCCTCATCGGGATGTGCCGAGGTTGGTGCGTAAACCTGTGACCTTCAGCGAATACCGTTTGGTGATTCTGAGTATCAGGTACGTGACCCTCGTCGACACACTCCCAATTTTTACAACGTTGTTGACGAGAGACTTGTGGACGATAAATCCGACATCTCCTTGCGACAGATGGTCGCCCACCCGGTGATAGAACAAGTTGCCGGATTCGAGAATCACCGTGTCCTCCCCCTCTCTTCGGACCTCGGATAATCCTATAATATTCCACCGCAACTTGTCTATCTCTTCTTCCAGCTCCAGGATCTTCTCGTCAGTCCTCAGGGTGCGTGCGTTAAATGTTGCCAGGTCGAGTCGTCGTAGGTGGCAATCGAACCTCCACCGGAGATTCTTAGCACCCCCTGCCCCGCCGTTACCATGGTCGCCACCGTAGCCAGGAATAGCGGAGCCGCCGGGGACTGGGGGCCGTCTATATGTGTAATTGTTCATGGGGGGGTATATATTGCCATAGTTGCCACGCTTGGCGAGCGGGTTGGCAACCGCAGTTTTTTTTGTTGTACAGTTGCTGTTATCAGGAAGATGCTGCTGCCCATCTCCTGCCTGTTTCCCTCTGTCGCCTTTTACGACACCCACGGGAAAGATATGGGGTAGTGGATATTCTTAACCGTCATTACACGGCCAGTTATTGTTGTTTACCTTAAATAATTTCAATTTGCCACTATTTGGTGAAAAGTCGATTTCGTTTAACAATAACACAATTTTGATAATAAGCAAGCACGCTGGTCCATTTCATGACGAGTGGTTATTTATGTTTTTCTACAGACGTCAGTATTCATTCACTTACTAATTACCGCCAATTTAAAAGTTTACTGCTGAAAGTTTCCTCATAAGCTTTCCTCACAGAATGCATGCGTGTACACACGAAGTAATGTTACAATGAAAAAAATTTGTACAAAGGCACTAATTATTTCATATTAAAATTTCTTCCAGCAGGCCTGATACCGGACAGATTTTTCTGTTTTGAAAAACATCTCATTCCCGTGGGAAAATCGAATATGTTGTACAAGTTTGTGCTTCTTTCACGTCGAAACAGAGCGTCGGCATGGCATGATTTTGTATGGGCATAGTTCGGTGGCTGTAGAGTGACATAGGCTACTTTTTTAAGCGGAAAAACATATCATTCCCGTTGGAAAATCGAATATGTTGCAAAATTAAATTCAGCTAGGTGGTGCCACCGTGATTCTACAAGAAGGACGACGGTACGATGGACGAACACAGAAGGTCAGAATATCTGAATTATTATGACTTTTTACCAAAATTAGGATAAAAAATGTATGGATCTGTATTTTTCCACGCAGGACCTGGAAGAGAGCGATAAAAAACATAAAATTTACCAGCTGAGTTTCTTCAAACGTTTTGGTGCATTGTAATTCACAGAATAGGCGATAACCTCGCAGACGATATTAAGTAATCCGTTGATGCTCTGCCTACCCCGCAAGGGTTACAGGCGTGATTATAAGTACGGATCAGAAATACTATCACCACCCGTCACGCTTTCACCCTTAACTATTACTTAACTGTGGTAGAAACAGTTCTTAGTAAGCCTTATTAATAAGCCTTAGTAATATTTATTGAACGGAACTCTCAAGAAAAATATTTTTTGAGAGTTCTTATTAACTAACGTATACATAGTTTAAATTGATTTCGCTAGATGTCGTTAATAGGTTTTTAAAACGCGGTAACGAAATGTTTGCTGACATGTACTTAACTCCCGCCGTTGAGCCGCGCGTCAACTTATAGTGCATACGGTACCTATACGCTTATTCGACTACCTGCTTACGATTACGGTCGTTTGTTATTTGCTTTGTGATTTGGTTAAGGTTGAATGGATTTATATTGGCTTTCATTTTCGGATTTGTGTATTTTTTTTGGATCGATTTTGTTGATTTGGTTGGTATTCCTTTATACATATTTAGATTCTGGGTATGATATTGGATTTTGTTTACTTAGAATCATGAATTGGTTTTCGTTGTTTTAGGTTGTTTAACACTATTTCAAAGGAATATTAATAGTATAGATAGTGTATACGGCACCTATACACTTACTTCTTTTTTCGTTGGTTATATTTATATTGACAACTGCTTTCGATTTCGGTTTTCTGCGATTTGTTTTGTGATTTGTTTTAAGTTGATTCGATTTTTTTTGGCTATCGTTTTCGGATTCGTGTTGTGTTTTGAATTGGTTTTGTTGTTTTGGTTTTAAAAAATATTTAAAAGGAATATTTATTCCTTTTAGATATTTTG